TCCATATCCTTGGAGATATTTTCTGCTTTGATTACACTGTCCACAGGCTAACCAACTTGGTTGATCAGTGCATTCACTCGGATTTTGATTTCAGCATTCTCTTTCCATATTCTTTTCATGCTGGCTGGACAGCATTTGCATAGCACAGCATGAAAATAACACAATACAATTCACTGCCCTGCAGGCTATTGCCAATGAGGGGCACATGCAACTTGACAAACCATGATGATCTGTGTAATGCATATGTATGCTCTCTGCTGGTGCAGCTTGTGTGTGCATCTTGGAGATGACACCATTGATAGGTTCACAGTATGTACATGGCAATGCCAAGTTCAGGTTGACTCCACTGACAAGAGCACAAATGCATACAAAATTGATTGCCACAGATTTTTTGCATCAGACTAAGTGTCTGGAATGGATGTGCTTGTGATGGGTTGAAGGTGATCACTGCTACGTGCATGTAAGATTGACTTTGCCATGATGTTCTATGATTGAGCACGAGTGATCTTCCATATTCCATGTGCGCCAAAACGGTGGAAAACATGGGTTTGCACTGTGCACACGTGAGAGGAATTATTTGCTTCATGCCTTTCCATGATCACTCTTGGTTTGTGATGGCATTAGCACTTGATTACAAGACTTGGCAGAGCCAGTGAAATCTGACCTCACATGCGTGTTATTCATTTGTGGCTCCTGTGATTCATGCCAACCATGTTGATTCACATTGGAGAAACCTTGGACAAAACCTGAGTAATCTTGTGAGGTTTTAACCTTTGATATAACTTTTGCAAGTACAACTTGCATCCCCTGCAATGTGACAAGGCTGTGCTTCAATTTTTGCTTGTAGAAACCACCAAATCTAAGCAATAGAAATAACCGTTGTATGAAAAATGGCTATAGTGATGTCAAAACGGGCACCTGTTTGACATATAGGTTCACATGTTTACTTTATTAATCATTCTTGGGTATTGAAACGCAAGGGTGTGCTGTATATACATATATTTTTGTTGCTAACCATATGAAGATACAAATATGGTTGTGTTGCTACTTGCCATGGGTCTACTTATAATCTGCTTTGGTGAAAGAAGAAAACTATTTGGAACTGAGGATATAGGCCCTACCTCCACCCCTTTTTTGTTTTTGTTTAACTTTACAGAACCAAATTGGATACAAAACAAATAGCAATGCAACTAAAACAGAGGTGATCCCGGTTGATAACCCGGAACTCAAAAAAATGGAACCTCCAGCTTCCACCAGATGAGGTCAAATAGCGACCAATATGCCTCTAAAGAATGCAAGTGGTCAAAGATGGAAAACCCATAAAATACAAATCACTAAGTAATCGTGGGGCCCAGGCCCGCCATTTCCTAGGGGAAATTCCAAGGGGGATGCTAAAATTGTAAAATGCTTGTGGAAATCGATTTTGGACCGTTTTTGAGCAATTTGTTGACGATTTTTTGCTGCGCTCGGGAAGCAAAAACATCGTAAATACAGTGTTTTTGTCCTTTTCGCATCTAGAAATTACATCTTGCAACATGGTGAAAATTACGTAAATACCAGTAGTACCGCACAAGTCGGTGGCGGAAGTTTCAAAACTAGGAAACCTATAAGAGAGGTTGGTTGTCGTGACTCACGGATGGCAGGGCGAAGCCACTGATGGACTGACAGGTGGTTGAGGTCTCTTCTCTTTCTCTCTCTTTCTCTCTCTTTCTCTCTCTTTCTTTCTCTTTCTCTACCTACCTACCTACCTATCTAATTTATCTATCTATCTATCTATCTGTCTGTCTGTCTGTCTACCTGTCTATCTGCAAGCTTGAAAACGAAGCCATTCTGCAAGACGTCCTCAGGTTTTGAACTTGACAACATCCAAAACGAAACAATTCTGCGAGACTTCTGCAATTTTTGAATTTACATCAAAAACAAACCAATTCTGCGAGACTTCCTTTCAAAATGGAAAGTTGAGTGCAGCGCTGACAGCCTCGTACCAATGCGTTTTCCGATTTTTCTCCTCGACCTATCTAAAGTACTGCGCTAGTGTAATGTAGTGAAGTGTAGTGGAAGGTAGTGTAGTGTAATGTAGTGTAGTGTTGTGTAATTTAGTGTAGTGGAGTGTAACGTAGTGGAGTCTATTGTAGTGGAATGTAGTTGTGTAGTTGTAGTTGTAGTTGTCGTGTAGTGGAGTGTAGTGTAGTGTAATGTAGTGAAGTGCAGTGGAAGGTAGTGTAGTGTGTGTAGTGGAGTGTAGTGGAGTGTAGTGTACTGCAATGTAGTGTAGTGTAATGTAATTTAGTGTAGTGGAGTATAGTTGAGTATAGTGGAGTGTAGTTGTGTAGTTGTAGTTGTAGTGTTGTGTAATGTAGTGTAGTGTAGTGGAGTGTAGTGTAGTGGAGTGTAGTGTAATGTAGTGTAGTGTACTGAAGCGAAGCGACATCTGAACCTCCAAAAGTGGTTGTTAAGTTGCTAAGTCGTTAGCTGCAGGGCCCAACATGTGTTTTGACTCAGTGCCCGAGGGTCTAGGATGCAACAAGTGTTTTGAAACTTGCCGACTAGGACTAAAACACATGTTTGGGAAATCCTTGGAAATCCAGTAAATCCAGCGGGTGTCAATCTAGACGTGCCCTTTTTTTCTACTTGTGCCACCCCTGGAGATTTGTCAGCAACAATTTCTCCGCAATTTTTCATTGAGTTTTAAATTCCATCAAGTTTTTACCAAGGTTGTGACATTTCATCAGGTTGTCACCAAGTTGTGAAAATTCACAAGGTTTTCATCAAGTTTTCACCAGGTTTTCACGAGGCTTTTTCAAAAAGTTTTCACCAGGCTGCACTAGGTTTTCAAACAGATTTCGACCGCTTTTTTGACCAGGTTTTCACCAGGTTTTGAAAATTCACCTGGTTTTCACCAAGTTTTAACCGAGTTTTCACCAGGTTTTCACCAAGTCTTCACCAGGTTTTCAAAATTCACCATGTTTTCACCAAGTTTTCACCGAGTTTTCACCAGGTTTTCACCAAGTTTTCACCAAGTTTTCACCAGGTTTTACCAGGTTTTCACCCAAGGTTTTCAGCGAGTTTTCACCAAGTTTTCACCGAGTTTTCACCAGGTTTTCACCAAGTTTTCACCGAGTTTTCACCAGGTTTTCACCAAGTTTTCACCAGGTTTTCACCAAGTTTTCACCTGGTTTTGAAAAATCATCAGGTTTTCACCAGGTTTTGAAAATTCACCAAGTTTTCACCAGGCTTTGGTCCAATGAGATTTTCGAGCCATTTTCACCATGAAAACACATAATTTTCACCAAAAAGTAGGCTCAAAACACTTCTTTTGGTGAATTTGGAACCTGTAAAACACTTCTTCGTGTTCACAACAAAGAAATCACCAGGTTTTCACCATGTTTTGAAAATTCACCAAGTTTTCACCAAGTTTTGAACATTCACCAGGTTTTCACCAGGTCTGGAAATTTCACCAGGTTTTCACCAAGTTTTGAAAATTCACCTGGTTTTCACGCAGTACCTATCTCCAAAGTTCATCGGATGTTCGTCAGTTATTTTACAGTCAGCCCGGTCTTCATTAAAATATGAATTTTGAAATGTCACCAGGTTTGCGCAAGGAGCGAAAAGACCAAGCGAGCGTCAAAAATGATAACATGCGACCTGGATGTGCTTCCAAAATATCATATCATATCAATATCAAATCCCATTGAGATGCTTATACTTATACTGACAATCTCGGCTTTCCATATCCAACCAAAAATATCTAATTAGTTATTGTACGGTGGAACTTCCTGATACCACATGGTATTCACATGTATTTACAAATCATATTGAGGTCAGTAAAGTCAGCTGCCTTCAGTGGCATGTATCCAGCATTGAACTAAACATGCAGCTGAGGGATATCTTAAACCATCTTAAACCCACTGCAGAGGCTGCAGCATCAACAAGTGTTCTTGTTCACCTAAGTTTGGGCCAAAACACTTATGTGTTTTACGACTCTTGGAGCACTCCCAAAACACTTCTTTTGTTTTGATATACCATCTCGGTCTGGACAACCCCAACTTAGCAACTTAACAAAAGTGGTCCAAACCCCTAGTGTTCTTAACATTTTGACTTCGAAATGTGCTTCGCACCCACAACGGCGTGCACTTTTTCGACATCGCAACTTCCAAAAGTGGTCCGAGCATGGTGTGCTGTGTACATTTTGACTTCGAAATGTGCTTCGCGCCACAACGGCGTGCAATTTTTCATCTCTCATCTGGCCAGCTGGCTCCGCACCCGCCGGTTAGCGAGCCTACTTTTCGACCCTCCGGAGTCACAAATCATTGGAAAAACACAGTGTTTAGTTTCGCGACTTTCCTACCTTTTCGCACATCTGCATCTTCTTTCTTCTGACTCTTTCTCTTCTACTCTTCTCTCTTCTAATCTTTCTCTTCTCTCTGCCTCTGCCCTACTCTGCTTTTCATCTGTCCATATTGTCAGAAGTTTGACTTCTAAACTTCCTTCGACCAGTGTTTTTGCTAGGCACTGGCACAAGAACCTTGTAAATACCGTGTTTTTGCTACCAGAAGCAAAAAACATCGTGAATACCGTGGTTTTTGGCTTCCGAAGCGTAACAAATATCGGTATATTTACAATGCTTTTGCTCCGGGGCTTTCAAAAATACACGAAAAATAAACATTCATGAAACTGGGTTGTTTCAGGGGGCTGGTTGTTTGAAGAATAAATTGGTAGAGAAGTCAAAACAAAGTTCATCACCAAAGGACCAATGGATAATAATCTTCACCTGGATTAAGGGATTAGTTCTGTCAGGTCCAACCCCCCCATCTCCCTTGCTGCGCTGTGGCTGCGACGGCAACATTGGCCGCGTGGCAGTTGGAGGACCCGTTTTCTCTGGGACGGCTTGGTTGGGCTCAGGCATTTCAACTTCCAAAATTTAGACCACCAGCCACCAGCATCTAAAATCTATATAATATAGTCTCACAGTGACCTTTGGTCTTGGGTGGCTATCCTACCTAGGAATCTTTCGGGAAGCCATTTGCTTCTTCCGCCTGACGCTTGGAGTAGTAAGTCACACGAGTGGCTGTGTTCAGGAAACCCTTGTACTTGTCACCGGCATGGACGCCCGTGTGGCGAGTGCGTTCATAGACCTAGTCAGGGAAACTCACAAAATGCAAGTAGCTACCTGCCGACGTATGTCAAAATCTGCCAAAAAAATGTTTTGAGAAACTTGAAAAAGAGTTTTGACAATCAACAGCATGGCAGGGCCTGCCAATCCCCAACAGTCTTGAGCAAGACTCCCTTAACTGTTCCTCTTTCGCGGCCAACGGTGCTCGGTGGAACTGGTGCAGGCTCTGCCGAGGTGGCATCTGGTGTTGGTGTAGTCCCCTCGGTGATGCCACCTCCACCATCAAAACCTAAACCAACATGAGGCTCCAAGGAAGAGGCTGGTCACTTGAAAGACACTCTCTTGGGACTGTTGGGCGTGGCTGCCGAAGGTCTCTTCATGGCCGTAGCTTTGCCCCTACCACGACCACGCCCACGACCCCTGCCGCTGACATTCTTGTTGGCACATTTGTCAATCTCCGCCTCTTCTGCCACCTCAACCTCCTGAGCCGGAGAAGCCTCCATCAAGCTATCATCTCCACAAGCTGAGGAGGCCACATTGCCCTTCTCTGCCCCCCCCTCTGCCTTTGACTCCTCCCCCTCTGCCTTTGACTCCTCCCCAAACTTCAAGCCAACTGGGTTGACCGGGGGCTTCTCGTTTCCTCCAGTCACTAAGCGAGAGGAAGCAGGTGGGCTTGTTGGAGGTGGCGTGGGGGAGGAGAATTCATATCTCCAATGTGTGGGCCTGGCAGCCCCATCCGGCTAAGGATCATGCCTTTCATCACAGAGAACAAGCAAATGTGGTGGATTTTGATTTTGCCACTTCATGCCACTTCATGCCACTTCAAGTGGCGTATGCCGTATGCCACTTCAAGTGGCGTATGCCACTTCAAGTGGCGTATGCTGTATGCCACTTCAAGTGGCGTATGCCACTTCAAGTGGCGTATGCCGTATGCCACTTCAAGTGGCGTATGCCACTTCAAGTGGCGTGCTGACTGTGTAGCCTTCGCGTTCCGAGTGGCGTATGCCCCTTAAAGTGCAAGCTTTGTAGTACGAAGTAGTACTGCGGAGTGCCTTGTGCAAGCTTTGTAGTACAAAGTAGTACTGGGAAGTGTTTTGCGCAAGCTTTGTAGTACAAAGTAGTACTGGGAAGTAGTTTGTGCAAGCTTTGTAGTACAAAGTAGTACTGGGAGTTGTTTTGTGCAACTATTGTAGTACAAAGTAGTACTGGGGAGTGCTTTGCGCAAGCTTTGTACTACAAAGTAGTACTGCGGAGTGCCTTGTGCAAGCTTTGTAGTACGAAGTAGTACTGGGAATTGTTTTGTGCAACTATTGTAGTACAAAGTAGTACTGGGAAGTAGTTTGTGCAAGCTTTGCAGTACAAAGTAGTACTGGGAGTTGTTTTGTGCAACTATTGTAGTACAAAGTAGTACTGGGGAGTGCTTTGTGCAAGCTTTGTAGTACAAAGTAGTACTGCGGAGTGCCTTGTGCAAGCTTTATAGTACAAAGTAGTACTGGGAGTTGTTTTGTGCAACTATTGTAGTACAAAGTAGTACTGGGGAGTGCTTTGTGCAAGCTTTGTAGTACAAAGTAGTACTGCGGAGTGCCTTGTGCAAGCTTTATAGTACAAAGTAGTACTGGGAGTTGTTTTGTGCAACTATTGTAGTACAAAGTAGTACTGGGGAGTGCTTTGTGCAAGCCTTGTAGTACAAAGTAGTACTGCGGAGTGCCTTGTGCAAGCTTTGTAGTACAAAGTAGTACTGGGAAGTAGTTTTTTGCAAGCTTTGTAGTACAAAGTAGTACTGGAACGTGTTTTGTGTAAGCTTTGTAGTACAAAGTAGTACTGGAACGTGTTGTGTAAGCGTTGTAATACAAAGTAGTACTGGGGAGTGTTTTTTGCAAGCTTTGTATTACAAAGTAGTACTGGGAAGTGGTTTGTGCAAGCTTTGTAGCGCACAGTAGTACTGGTAAGTACTTTGTGCAAGCTTTGTAGTACAAAGGAGTCACGTGGATTTGACAACGTAACTTCCAGAGCTTCTTGGAAGTTGATTGAAAAGGATGTTACAACATAGCATCCAGAGCGTCTTGGAAGTGACTTCAAGTGGATGTTACAATGTTACAACGTAGCATCCACCGCCTTGTGGGAGTTACTTGAAACGAGTGTTCTAACGTAGCATCTAGAGCGTCTTGGATGTTGATTGAAAGGGATGTTGCGACGTATCATCGAAAGCCTTTTGTACTGTCTTCGAATAAATGTTGCAGCGTAGCATCCAGAGCGTCTTGGAGTTGCTTGAAACGGACGTTACAACGCAGTAGTCGCGGCCTTTTGGAAGTTACTTGAAATGTATTGAAATGTATGTTATACCGTAGCATCTAAGGCGTCTATTGGGTTGACTAAAAAGGGATGTTGCAACGTAGCATCCAAAGTCTCCTGCAAGTGACTTCAAGTGCATGTCACAACATAGCATCCAGAGCTTCAAGGAAGTTGATTGAAATTGATGTTACAACATACATCCAGAGCGTCCTGGAAGTGACTTCAAGTGGATGTTGCAACGTAGCATCCACCGCCTTGTGGGAGTTGCTTGAAACGAGTGTTAAAATTTAGCATCTAGAGCGTCTTGGATGTTGCTTGAAAAAGATGTTGCAGCGTATCATCGAAAGCCTTTTGAACTCCTTCGAATAAATGTTACAGCGTAGCATCCAGAGCGTCTTGGAGTTGATTGAAATGGACGTTACAACGTAGTAGCCACGGCCTTGTGGGAGTTACTTGAATCTGAAATGTATGTTATAACGTAGCATCTAGGGCGTTGGTAGTTGATTGAAAGGGATATTGTAACGTAGCATCCAAAGCTAGCTTCCAGAGCTTCATGGAAGTTGATTGAAATGGATGTTACAAAATACATCCAGAGCGTCCTGGAAGTGACTTCAAGTGGATGGTCCAACGTAGCACCCAGCGCATCTTGCAAGTGACTTCTAGTGGATGTTACAACGTAGCTTCCAGAGCTTCTTGGAAGTTGATTGACATGGATGTTACGTACATACATCTGTATTTTTGACTCCTGGCATCTGCGCCTTGGCATGAGGCACTTTCAGAGCTGCTTCTGTTTCATTATGTTTCATTCATCTTACCCGTAGCCTGAAAACAGCCAAACCGGCAGAGCAATAAGTACATGAGATGGCGCACTTGTAAACGTAGAGCTAAAACCCTTGGATTCAAGGAAAAAATCAGGAATTTCCAGGAGAATCTAGGAAGTTTGGGAAATCCATTCTCGCCACTTTGCCCCTCGCCCCTAAAGCAGTCTAATGAAGTAGTATACTAGCAGCAGTAGTAGAAGTAGTCGTAGCCATAGCCGTAGCCGTAGCCGTAGGAGGAGGAGTAGTAGTAGTAG